TGTTGAATTTGTGTTGCACATTTAATCCATTCAAGCCACACATTATTCTCTATTTATTTTTTTCAGTCACTTAGATAACCATAATTTATGGGTTCCCAGTAAATTTGCTGTTAGATGCTTCAAGATCATCATGTATTCAATTCAGGTGAGATTGTTGGGGTTCTTGACTTGTGCACAGTAATTGCTGTTGAAAATGCAGCTGTAATTTGACTGGCATAACGATATTCTTGAAACATTGTTAGACAAGCTCACTGATCCTCATTTATCTAAGTTTTACTATCATAGTTTAACAGGCCAGTTGATCATTTAGTGCTTAAATAGTCCATGTATGAAAGAACTACAGACAAATCTAGTAGTATATTATATATAGGTTATTTGAAGATTTGAAACTTGAATAATGTATTATTACTTATCAATCAATAACATTTTGTGTACATATTAGGCTCAATATTCCTATGTAGCAGTTCACATGTTACTAAATCATTTAGATGATAACACCAAGAATTCACCACAGATGAAACAAAGCATAGTAGAAGTTTTAGGAGAGTGTGTAACTATTGCTGCTGATGGTTCCATTGGTAAGTACATATATATATATTTATGTAATAATAATAATAACGTTATTGTCAACCTATCTCCATTGAGATCTGGACTAACATACAATAAAGATTAAAAGATACAGAAAATATAAATTTAAAATACAACAACAATAAATAAAAGTATAACCGAATAAGAAAAAATAACTGTTAAAAAAGTCTTTGACAAAGTAGTAAATAAATAGTTTACATATAAATGTAAGAATGCATTATATTTTCAGGGCAGCTGGCAATCTCTGTATATTTTCTTTTCTCATAAGAAAGCATTTGTGAATGTATTTTGATATTTTAAGAATCAGTTTTTCATCTTTGTTATTTAGAAGAGTTTCTTGTATATTTCAGCACAGTTTAATAGACTTCACTATTTGTGACTAAGTATGTACTAAATACTGATTGTTTTTGCAGGCCCTTCTGTACTGGAAGTGTTTAATACACTATTGAGACATCTCAGGCTGTCTGTGGATACTAGAGTCTCTGAACGAAGTGCTCTCAAAGCTTCTATCAAGAAAAGAATCAGTCATTTCGATGAACAACAACAAACTATGTTTGAAGAAGCCATAATCAACACCATGGGTAAGTGTCTCCATTTTCAATAGCACATGTCTTATATTGTTAAAGTTGCATTCACACAAACATCTGCAGAACCATCCCCTAACCAATATTGTCAAATGTTGAGATTGTGGATGAATAATGAGAAATTAACTGTAGAATAGCGATTAAAAAAAAGCCCTCCTGAAGTAAGCTAGATTTGTAAACAATATACACTCACTGAATTAAAGGCTATGTTTGTCTTTTAAGGTCAGTTACATTGTAGATCAGTTTTCACTCTCCAAATAAAATAGGTTGGAAAATATAAGCAGGGTATCTAGTTTTGATATATGATATTTTATTGCTAAAACAGCATTATTTGAGCACATTTCTTAATTTTAGCTTGTTCTAGGGGTGATGTTTCACTTATTTGCAAAGTGGATTTATTTATCCTGTTAAATATCACTATTGAAATTTGATAATGAGAAGTCTTATTACCAAAGTGTAGTCAGTTGAAAAGTAAGGAAGTGGGAGTTTGGTAGGTATGGGTTGAGTACATTTATCATTGTTCTATTGCAGGTACGTTTGCTGCTATTTTACCTGACTATCAAAAGATTGAAATTATGATGTTTATTATGGGAAAGATTCCGTTACCAACGCGGTATGAACATTCTGATGCAACCTATCCAATGCCTTCAGTTAATGGGTAAGAATATTCTCAAACATAGTGAAATTATATCAGCCTCTCCCTTATGAGTGGGAAATTGAAATTATGCTTATTATGGGAAAGACTCCGTTACCAACGCGATAGAACATTTGATGCAACTTATCCAATGCCTTCAGTTAATGGGTAAGAACATTTTATAACCTAGTGAAATTATATCAGCCTCTCCCTTACGAGTGGGAAATTGAAATTATGTTTATTATGGGAAAGACTCTGTTACCAACGCGATATGAACATTTGATGCAACTTATCCAATGCTTTTAGTTAATGGGTAAGAATATTTTATAACATAGTGAAATTATATCAGCCTCTCCCTTACGAGTGGGAAATTGAAATTATGTTTATTATGGGAAAGACTCTGTTACCAACGCGATATGAACATTTGATGCAACTTATCCAGTGCTTTCAGTTAATGGGTAAGAATATTTTATAACATAGTGAAATTATATCAGCCTCTCCCTTACGAGTGGGAAATTACAATTATGTTTATTATGGGAAAGACTCTGTTACCAACGCGATATGAACATTTGATGCAACTTATCCAATGCCTTCAGTTAATGGGTAAGAATATTCTCAAACATAGTGAAATTATATCAGCCTCTCCCTTACGAGTGAGAAATTGAAATTATGCTTATTATGGGAAAGACTCTGTTACCAACGCGATATGAACGTTTGATGCAACTTATCCAATGCCTTCAGTTAATGGGTAAGAATATTCTCAAACATGGTGAAATTATATCAGTCTTGCTGTCATGTTCAAAAGCATGGAAAGTATTAATTAGGTTTTATTATTTTTTCCATATTAAAAAGTATGGCTGACTGGCAGCCATTTTAAAAATTGGTTGTGTCCATCCAAAGCCTTAGTTACTGATTTTAATTAACTTTTCACACATTGCTTTATTCTTTACCTTCAGTTTTTCTCTATAATCTCAAAACATTAAATATTAGATGGGAATACCAGTATATGCAATGATTTGCATAGTCTAGTTACATAGTCTCCCCCAATATAAATGAATCTACATGTCAGATTACTTATTGTAATTTATGAACACTAGCAATTGCTTTCTCTTTTTTACAGTGAAGGAGATTTACTTCTACAAAACATGCTGCTGAAAAGTTTATTTGAAGTTGGTACTAAGTACACAACTGTTTCCATGTCAACCACTTTCTCAATATCATTTTTGGAGCCATTACTAGCAATATCAGTGGCGCCTGATCCAGGAGTTAGGTTACTTGTACAACGTATATTTCACACATTGATTGATCGACATGATAACTATCATAAACTAAATGTCAACAACTTATCCAAAGATATCAGTGAATTGGAACTGAGGGTGGAAAAATGTTCCAGACAAGACATTCTGTTCATGAAGAGGGTAATGTTAATTTACTGTTTTATTCATTCTGGATGCGATTATTTATTCTCATTACAAGACATTTTCTTAACAATGTGTGAACAAACAAAAGTGTGAACAGATAGAACTGTATTGGCATTGTTGTAGGCATTATTGCACGAAAAATCTTGTGATACCACAGTACACAGTGTGTGTAAGTGACATTAGTATTTCATTGTGTCACTATATCAAGGGGTTACTCTGTGGAAGATGAATAAAGAATGTCATTGTCTGTGTGTATTTTTTTTTTTTTTTATTAGACGCATACAATCTTTAGGAAAGGATAAAAAGGGTCTTACAGAAAGAAATTAAAACAAACTACAATCTAAAAAAGAAAACAGAAAATAAAAACTTTTCTAAAAAAAATAAAACAAATCAAAAACAATAAAGACAATTTGCAGTCAATGGTGAATACAGAATATAGAATGAACACAAAATGTGTATGCACTTTATGGTTTCTTTGAACAACACACTAACACTATTGCTGTTATTGAACCACAAATGTATTATGTAGTTTTTGCTAGTGAAAATATCTTCTCTCTGAGAAGAAGTCAGCTGTAGAATCATGTATAATATGAGGTTATTACTAGTATGAGAATACCTCAAAGTATTCACGAAGACAGTACAGCTGGAGTATCCATTGACGCGAATCGAAGGTCGATGCGCGGCGTACTGTCTGAGTGCATACTTTGAGGTATTCTGGTAATAACCTTATTATTATACATCTTTTCATTCCAAGAATACATCATGGGAATGCCGAAATCCAAAAAGTTTAGAACAGAATCAGCGAACTTCTTTGTGTGGAGTCCGGTCAAACCCTGATGGCAGCCATGTTTGTTTTTATTATTAGAGGACGCTTATGCCCGTAGTCATTCCATATTTGGAATTCGCATTTCCTTATATGGTACAATAAAATTATCCCATAAAATACTGCAAAAATTATGGCGCACTGTAACTTACAGCATTACAGTGACAGATGTATAATAATAATAATATATTGTAGTAGTACTGATGGTTGTGTACTTTGTTTTATAGTATGGAGCTCAGATATATTGGCATATGTATGAAAACATGAACCAGTCGGATAACAGACTAGATAATTATGAAGCTTTATACTGTACATTGGCTCTATTGTGTATTGAATTTGGTGGTGATGAAATATTGATGGAGTTAGTCAGATTAACACTAGCATTGCAGGTGAGTATTGATGGAGTTAGTCAGAATAACACTAGCATTGCAGGTGAGTATTGATGGAGTTAGTCAGAATAACACTAGCATTGCAGGTGAGTATTGGTGAAGTTAGTCAGAATAACACTAGCATTGCAGGTGAGTATTGTTGAAGTTAGTCAGAATAACACTAGCCTTGTAGGTGAGTATTGGTGAAGTTAGTCAGAATAACACTAGCATTGCAGGTGAGTATTGATGGAGTTAGTCAGAATAACACGAGCATTGCAGGTGAGTATTGATGGAGTTAGTCAGAATAACACTAGCATTGCATGTGAGTATTGGTGAAGTTAGTCAGAACAACACTAGCTATGTAGGTGAGTATTGGTGAAGTTAGTCAGAATAACACGAGCATTGCAGGTGAGTATTGATGGAGTTAGTCAGAATAACACGAGCATTGCAGGTGAGTATTGATGGAGTTAGTCAGAATAACACTAGCATTGCAGGTGAGTATTGGTGAAGTTAGTCAGAATAACACTAGCATTGCAGGTGAGTATTGTTGAAGTTAGTCAGAATAACACTAGCCTTGTAGGTGAGTATTGGTGAAGTTAGTCAAAATAACACTAGCCTTGCAGGTGAGTATTGATGGAGTTAGTCAGAATAACACTAGCATTGCAGGTGAGTATTGATGGAATTAGTCAGAATAACACTAGCATTGCAGGTGAGTATTGGTGAAGTTAGTCAGAATAACACTAGCCTTGTAGGTGAGTATTGTTGAAGTTAGTCAGAATAACACTGGCATTGCAGGTGAGTATTGGTGAAGTTAGTCAGAATAACACTAGCCTTGTAGGTGAGTATTGGTGAAGTTAGTCAGAATAACACTAGCATTGCAGGTGAGTATTGGTGAAGTTAGTCAGAATAACACTAGCCTTGTAGGTGAGTATTGGTGAAGTTAGTCAGAATAACACTAGCCTTGTAGGTGAGTATTGGTGAAGTTAGTCAGAATAACACTAGCATTGCAGGTGAGTATTGATTGAGTTAGTCATGACTGCATGAAGTTATTCAGAATAACCCACTGCAGGTGAGCATAACTGAACTTACGGTAGTGAGAATAACTCACTGCAGGTACCCATAACTGAAGTTAGTCAAACAAAGGAGTACTCTAATATTATATGGCATATGAAAGTTGAAATTAATTTGAGTGTTATTTCTGAATCTTCTTTTTGTTTCTAGTTTAGTAAATATTTTCTTTTCTTGTAGGAATTGGCTTGTAAAACAGACGGTAAATTATCACCTATTCATCAATGTGTGATACATGCTGTTGTATCAAGTTATCTAAATTTAATCAGTCAACTAACGGCAATACCAGCATTCTGTCAACATATTCATCAGGTAAGACTAATTATTTGATTTTTACACTTTTTGTTGTTAACATATTCATATATGTGCAATAAATTCTTAAACTCACAGGGACTAATACAATTAATTGATTTGTCTGTATTTTGCTTTTTATCATTGTTTCCCTCTATATTACTAGGTGATTGAAGAACGTAAACAACATGCTGCATATCTACTACCTGAGTTCATCTTCAGTGACACAATTGTGGATTCCAGGTAAAAACAATGTTTTCATGTTGTCTTTATATGGTGCTGTTTATTGTCCCCTCTGTAATGAAATGGAAGGGAAGGTATAGTAGTTGAACACATGCTGTCTGCATTGTCATTGTTGTTAATAATTACTTTTGTCTGAATAACCCATTAAATTACCGATTGCCAAATTACCGTCAGACGCGATGTAATGCTATTTCCGCATGCGTAATCTACCTAGCAATAGGCGAGGATAGGACAAAAATATAAAAAAGCAAAAGAACACCAACAGACATGCAACCCGGAAAAAGTCAGCGATATATTTGAAACAGTTTGTTAAAGATATTAGAGTGAGTGTGGGCAGCTAAAAGAACATGGATTTCCAGTTGAAAAAGATGATTTTTCCGAGAGAATTGACTGAGACAGAGACCATATATGTGTTTTTCGCTGTGTAAATATGACCATAACATAGTTTTTCAATTCCCAAAATACTCAAAAAATATGAAAATATTACACTATAGCCAAAGATGATTTGGATGTTCATTATTCTTGCTTTGGCAGAATAGTATGCAAATTTTCAGCGACTGGTATGAAAGATGGGGGCAGTTATTTTTGAAAAGAATGTTGTGTTGCAAGTTGAGAACATTGATGTTGATTTGAAACTATCAATTTGGAAACCGGGAATTGTTTTGAAACTTCGACCAATCTATTCATCAGTATTAGACCTCACTCAGTTTTGATCCAAAATTTATAATGCCTGCACTTTAAAGGGAAAATTCTGAATATAATGAGGGTCCAGAATACAGAACCGAATACAAAGATATTACACCAATTCTTACAACTATGCACAATATATTTTGTAATGCAGCTATCCAACTACTGTTCATGTTGAAGACAATTTGTTATTCCAACAAAGTGTCATAAGTGAAGCATTACACAGTACTGGTCATGATGTCTCTAGATTAGCTGTACCTTATGTACATAGACCATCAGGTAGGATATGAGTTATTAGTTTGTTCAGTATTATGGTGACTGATATGTACAGTGAAATGCATATTTGTCTTTTTTTGTGAAGATATGGAAAGCAGAGTCTCAGCACTTGTATAATATTCGTTTGCAGGACTTGAATATCGTCAACAGACAGAACTGGATGCTACATCTCTCAATCTAGAAGTGGAGTCTGTCAATTCTTCCCCAGGAGGTGTACGGGTAAGTTGATTACGTGTGTATGAAATGGTACAAGGAGACGGACAGGACTGAGAAAAATGTGTGAGCTATCGATTTTACATATTGTAATCTTCAAATTACCTTCTAATGTAAGTCAAACAATTGACTGAAATATGTGTGTGTATGACAATTAAATTTGTACATATAGCTGGCATTTAACTACAAAACAAATATTCTCCGCAATATGCAAACAGCGTGGCAGTGCCACCATGCTGCTCTGAGAGACCGCCAGCTCAAAATCATTGCCATCATGCTTGATTTCTGTTACTATTTTTTACGCAGCTATTGTTCTATGAGACTTGTCCTCACTGCTATTTTAAGCCGTAAACAATAAACAATGGGTTGGCATGAACTTGTTGAAAGTTGTAGTCTATTACGCAAACCACTGATCACGTCAAAGCTTTCATGTTTGAAAAAAATGATAAATCGAACAAAATGATGCTTTTCCATTGTGACTGGTTTATTGGTATTGGTAAAACATCACAAATGCATTTTCATAATGCAGTATGTCACATACAGTACCTTTTAGATCACACCATTACAGATATCCGATTTGAAAACAAAAATCATTTGAAGAATTGCTGATTCCAATGTTGAAAGTACAACATACATGTACAATTAAAGTAATAATAAAACTAAAATACAGTATATAAGCAGTATGTGAAAAAAGAAACAACTGTACAAACACTTCAAATAAATTATGCAAATTATATGCTAATTATTATACAATTATTCACCACCCTTGACAAAAATCCTGGGGAGAACACTGAAGACTATGAAATGTCGTGGCTAATATATTTGTACACATTATTCATGGCAGAAACATCCTGAAGAACAGATTACATTTGAGTCACTAAAGAGGGCGCTACAGTCTCCAGATAATGAAGAAGACTTAGAGGAACAAGAAAAAGAAAAAAGACAAGAAATATTGGAGACATTCAAATCTAGTACTTTAGATGAAATTGCAGCTATTTCTGAACATAGGGTAAGGTCAAAATATCATGTTGGTCTGAGAGACAGGGATGTATAGTTAAAAAGTGGATTTGACTATGTTTTGCCCAGTATTTGAACTCTTCTCTGTCATTCCCTGTTAACAAGCAGTAGTGGGCTTGGCTATGTCTTGCATATCCCTGTCACCACATACTCATTGGTAATTATCTCCGCCTCTGTCCACTAAATAAATGAATGCTTATTATGCTCGCTTACTCAAACTGTGATTGACAGGCATTTTGCATACATTAGATGCCATTTTAAAATCAGGATTCACCAAGTGGTTCTATGATTCTATTTCCACTACATTGTAATATTGTTGCTGTGTCTGATTCAAACTGACAGTGTTTTAACAGCACCATAAATGTGTCTCACATTCTTCAAGTGAATAATATATGTGTATTCATCCACATATCTAACGTATCTGTCCTGTTCACAATTCATTAAAAATTATGATTGTGTTAAAATCATTTTAAATTAATTAAATGTCAAAATATGTGTTGAAATTAATATTGGAATTATTGGGTAATTTTACAGTCACAAAAAATGCAGATAAGGTTGAATGAAATCCTCGACAAATTAAGCAGGTTAGTATTTTGAATATATTTGTATTATCACTAGTATCAATATAGTCATATGCAGCTAACCAATGTTATCCACATTACAGATGACATCACACCATGCATTATCTGTTTTTCATCACAGTCACATTATTGATGACATCACAGTCTCTTTACAGATGACATCACACCATGCATTATCTGTTTTTCATCACAGTCACATTATTGATGACATCACAGTCTCTTTACAGATGAAATCACACCATGCATTATCTGTTTTTCATCACAGTCACATTATTGATGACATCACAGTCTCTTTACTGATCACACCATGCAATATAACTTTAATTAATCTCACATAGCCACATTACCAATCAAATATGAATATGTATTTTTCATTTACCTGTGAACCACTTGCATTCAATTCATAATTTGTTATTGTTTGATAATAAATCACAGTAGATGTTTTTATGCCTGACTTATAAATTGTACTCATTTCGGTGCTTACAGACCAAGGTCACGATCAAGTACACCACCACGCAGTCCACAATTATCGCTTTCTTCATTACCCTCACCACCATTGAAATCAGTACCACTTTATGAAATGAAATTTCCTGAGCTCCTTGTGTTTTAGCATCTCAATAGCTGGCTTAATCAATAAGGTGAATATATGTACTGCTATAATGGTCTGTAAGATTGGGTTTGTAACATGTGTGTACTCACTGAATAATGTTTTACAGTACAGTTTACAGTATTGTTTTCATGCTTCTATTCATTCATTTTATACTGTTATATATAGACTTGCTTTCATCCAGACGTGACATAGAATACAGGATCAGATTTTGACTGTAGAACAATGGGAAAGTTTGAATATGAATGTTTTGTGTATGATAATAGTTTTCATATTTGTCAAATACATAATCAAATTTTGACTGTAGAACAATGGGATAGTTTGAATATGTATGTTCCATGTATGATAATAATTTTCTATATTTGTCAAATGTGTATCAAATTTTGACTGTAAAACAATGGGATAGTTTGAATATGTATGTTCCATGTATGATAATAATTTTCTATATTTGTCAAATGTGTATCAAATTTTGACTGTAAAACAATGGGATAGTTTGAATATGAATGTTCCATGTATGATATGATTTGTATGTCAAATTCTTCCAATAAACTACATTTCTAACTCTATCCCTTTTTCATTTGTATTTATTGACAGTTCCACAGATGATGAAAACAACAATGTGGGATATAATTGGTGTCGTGATTTTATTAATGAAGATAACAATGATATCAAATATGATTGGATTATTCCCAGCCTCTCTGTAGTCTATTTATCTGATGACATTCCCTTGATTATTTCTGAAAACAACACTGATAATGATACATTTTTCTAAATAACTATGGAATTGTATTTCCTAGATGTTAATTGGTGCAATACTTCTGTAATCATGGTGGCCTTGACAATAATACAAACTGTTGCCACACATGTACTGTGTCTGAGAATTTAAAACATTTTAACTGAACGTTTTAGGATTTTTTTTTTATAACTACAATATTTTAGATTAATGTTCATCGGGTAATGGATTCAGACACTTTATCTTACCAATTCAGTGTTACTTGTTTAGATATAGTCGCTTACTTCTAATCATTGATGCTATTGTTGTCACAGGAAGTCATGTGTTGCATACGTATACAAATTTGAATTAAAGCGGGGGAGTCGTCACCTGCACATGCATCAGATAGCCATAGCGTGTCATTGTTTATAAACAAGCATCTACCCATGAGCCTTTGTATTTTTAGCGTGTGTTGTTATCGTCGATTGGGACTCAATTCCTGGGTATGCGGAAGTGTCGACCCTTCCGCTTTAAGTTCAACATGATGCATGATTGAAATAAATGAATCAGATACTTTTCATGCATCACTAAAAAATAGAAATTGTCTTGCATACCTAGTGATTTGGGGATAGGTGTAATTATTTATCAGTTCATGTACAACTAAAAATAATATATAAATTAAATTGTGAGAGTCCAAGGATTGTGTGTGTGTGAAAGCTGGCTGCTATCCTGGGATGAGTGCTTTAATTATTTTATTTGAATATTTCAATATATTGTTGTATATTTTCTTGGTATATGTTATTTAATATATGGAGCAGAATTAAAATGCAAGATGAACGGCCATTATGTTTTCCAAATGCTGTTGCCTATATTATATGGAGCGGAGTTAAAATGGAAGATGAACGGCCATTTTGTTTTCCAAATGCTTTTGCCTATATTATATGGAGCGAAGTTAAAATGGAAGATGAACGGCCATTTTGTTATCCAAATGCTGTTGCCTATATTATATGGAGCGGAGTTAAAATGGAAGGTGAACGGCCATTTTGTTTTCCAAATGCTATTGCCTATATTATATGGAGCGGAGTTAAAATGGAAGATGAACGGCCATTTTGTTATCCAAATGCTGTTGCCTATATGTTTAGCGTGGGAGACATTTGTGTTATGGGTTCCGGTTATGCATGCATGCATTTATGGGTTTGTGAACAAGATTTATTAGATTTACTGAACATACCTTGCCCAATAATAGTCTTTAATTAAACAAAATGTATATGATTACCTTTAACTGTTTCAAGTACAAAAAGATTAGACCCAATTGCAAATCGCAAATCTAACGCATTGAGGTATTATAGGCAGTGTCATTTGGTGAGTGGCCCTCTACTATGGAGAGAGTATTTTTCACATTATGCAAATAAGCTAATTAAAGTGTTACTAAAAATATTAATTTTCCCACACACCGAAGCAATATAAGTCTCTCATACTACATCATAATGCAGATAATACGTCTATTACATAATGCAGATAAATATTAGAAAGCTTGTGCACCAAAAAATGTGTTAAAGAGTGTGTTAAATTAAAATTGAAAGAAATGCAATAGGCAAGACAGTGACTATTTGTATTTGGACATTATTTGGCTAGTGTAGCACTATGGTGTTCATGTGGTGTAGTATTACAGACAACACATTTATTGTCCGTTACTTGTTCAATTTATGGTCAATCGGAAACATTACAATGTAGTTTATCGTTGGTATTTTCAAAACTGTAATAAAGCCAGCAATTTAGTACCAGTTCAATGGTTTGATTTTTGTGTCAGAATCACACTTCCAGTTTAGAGTCTCTTTCATTAGAAGGGGCAGAAAACATTGCTCTACGAACAAAAATCAACATTATTCCCATGACAGAATTTCGTTAGGAAGGTTCAGTCACTGGTCTGGCAGAGCGCCCTCTATTGGTAACACCTCATCTTCATTGGCAATCATGTATACAATATACAATCATTTACCTCCCAGGGGGACGTCCAAATCATTGAATAACGTTGATTTGCTTATTGATTACAATGATAATAATTAATCGATAATAATGAAAAAGTGTGTGGTATTTTGCATCCTGTATTGCTGGAGGGTCAAATTCCCAAATCATCTGGCTTTCTCTAATGGTAATTAACATAATGCATGGCAGAACTGGTGTTGTGTGTAGTGTGTTTTATGTTTTCAATTTGTAAGCTCAAAAGGATTAATTGCTGACTTTCTGTTTTTGCCAGAACACCACTAGAAGGCTTCTGGAGTGGAGTCGAATTAATGCAACATCGTGTGCAGCCGATTAGCCTCGCGTTGCAGACATATTATTTCTAGACTCGGATCTACATGCCATATAAAAGTGTTTACAATGTGTCCGGTGTTCTGAAAACAAATTTGGCGAAATATTCCCGGCTTTTGTACACTAATTCCATTGCATTGATACAGTGTCACTCAGAAGAAGTGGAGCGGCTTAACGAAAAGAAAATACAAATTGCTTGTCTCAGAATTCATGTTTGATATTAAAAAAAATTTCAAATGTTTGTTCATATTCTAACTTTTTCTATGAAGTAGGTTACCAATAAAAAGGTTATTGTTACAGCTGATATTTGCATGTTTCTGTCTCTTTAATTGAAAAGTATGCATCTTCATTGTAATAATAGTATTGTCGCCAGTCTGAGATACACCTAAAAAGTATTCTCTTTGGCTATATTAGCAATCGCAGAGGTGATTGCTGCCAAAATTGTATTTAACTCAGTCGCTGCGGGCGCACCCCATTTCGCATAATTACGCAAGAGAGCGTAGTGATCTGACGGTAATACGATACATCCCACAATGCAACTTCAATAAGAGGGAGGTGGACAGTTGTGTAAATATTGTTGAGCAGTTAAAATACCACCTATGCGATTCCCAAAAGGTACCCTCAAAGCCAATCAACATACCCCAAAGTCAACCCAGACAGCATCACTCATTTTCCCCAAACGACGAACCTCACCAATCATCCATCCAAACCCAACAGAGAACAAGACCCGCGACCCCGATAACATGGTGTGGAAATCCAAAGGTGATATCCTGGAGAAATACATTTGAAAGTTGATGTGTATCTCAGACTGGTAACAGTATGGCGGGTAAATGTAATTAGAAAACACAGCAATGTAAAGATCATGATTTTTATTTTAGTAGAAATTTACAGACAAAAGTCAGTACATAGGTAGTAACAAATAATTAAATATTACATTCACACATGATAATTAATATTGGTAGTGTTTTTTCAGTCACTGATACGTATTGAAAAAATATATAACTGTACGTGTATTAGTTTTGTATGATAATGACCGGCGATTATTCGAAAATTCAAGGTTGCCAGGCTCCAAGGGACAAGCATTAACTTCATCGGCAAGTTCTTCAAGTTCAATAAGCTTTCAAATTTGTGCATTACACAAGTTATGCCACTCTTATGGGACAGTTTGCGAAGATCTGGTACTTCCTTTGAACTAAGATTATTCACGTTTTTTGCCTCCGTGAAAAAACAACAACACCTATTAACAGTGCGCCCGCACGTGTCCAAACCTTGAAATGGTTATGCAAATGGTAGCCATTAGAAACTCGAAAGTCAGGAATGGATCAATTGTGCGCTAGGAACTGACCGGTTACTTACATGCGTGCATTTTTATCCTCGGTAATCATTCAAACTCATTATTGAAGATGCAGTGGTTGTCTGGGATATGCACAACAATGAAACATTTCAAACGATAGGTATGCATTAGTTGGGCTTCAAATTATTGTAAATTTAATCGTTACCACATTGTGTGCGAGTAAATGTGTGATTCGTATCAGAGGTTTAAAGTCATTGAGTCCTTCAGTCTGGTTCGATCTGAGGTGTGTTGTTCACAGTTATACCTTTGTTGTTCCCACATTTTGCCTGACCAATGCACACATGTGTTACTAGTAATAGTAGCAGTCTCGCTTCAGATACATATCAGCCCCTCAACGAATACTTGTTTTAAGTACATGAGGACAGCATAGCTTTCAACCTATTTGTTCCTTAGTGCTGCGAACACTACGAGCCCCGGGTTTCTCCGTACATTTGCGTAATCCCATTATTCACTCTTATCAGTCTCTGGTCTAGCGAATGCTCAGCTACAAAAACTCTGCAGTAACTCATATGACAGATTTCATCTAAACCAAAGGACGAAATAAAGAGATTCGTGCCTCTAAAGAGATCACTGTCCAGTCTTTTTAACTGTTCTTGTAGTTCGGAGGGGGACATATGGTCCAATTCATCGATTAACATTACGCCAAAAACCAAAATATCAGATTCTCAAAAATGATAAAAATTAACTTGGCCGTCATTAGCCACAGACCCGATATATACATGTCTAAAGAAGAGTTGGATTGACTAATTTGTCACGATCACCATTAATATTCAAAACAATACTTGAATGGATTTTCTTTTAGAAATTAAATTCAGTATATGTGTCTGTAAATAAGATTTTGACTACACAAAAAATGGTTTAAAAATTCCCCACTTTTTTATTAGTAGAAATTGGTATAATAATCACAATGAGTATCATACCTGTTTTTATATAATTGCATACAATTTAATTGAATATTATAATTAAAGAAACTCCTCCTATTTATGCTGTTTCCGTAGTATTATTCCGCAATAAAGTCTTGTCTTTGAAGATCGTGCTTGTGTTTTTTCAAGTCATTTCTGCAAGTACAAAGTCTGTGCAGATATTTCTGTTCAATATCAGATTTACACCGACGAAGTTCGAAATAATAAATTCTAAGATTGTATAATCAATTCTCATCATCACTTTAGTTGTCTTATGATGTGGCTAATTCTTTTATATCTCGCATTCTGTATTATTTGAGATCCATCGATAATAATCTAAATTACACAAATACATTTGGGTTTACTTGGGATGGTGTGCAAAACTTCGTCTTTTTGGCACAGGGAGTGTGGCTGGTTGATAACACGTCTGCCTGCATTGACGTGATGATTGCAGTGATTGTGAGTTCCAATCTTCTGTAATATTCGTTTGTTTGCATGTAGAATTTATAAATGCATTCCCCTAGGGTACTTGGACTTCGACCAAATTTAACCGATAATTTAGACATTCAATCAGGTATAGGAGAAACACTCATTTATCTGAACTGTGTACCAATTTTAAGAGCAGGGCCTACACAGCAGAGGTGAACTAACCTTTCATCACCCACTAGTGTATATGTCACGATTTTGAAAACGTACGCAGCATATGATGACAACAATTGTTCTAAATGTTAAGTGTCAGTAGCTTTGCGTTGACTCCGTGCAACAGCTGATAATGATGATAAATGCAGGCATACAATTCCAATTACTAATTCATTGAATAAATAACAGCCTGTGAATTGCAGAGTGGGATGTCATACTATCCAAAATTAATACCGTCTTTGTTTAAAGTCTATCTGTAAATAACATCAGGATGAGTCATTGTGGTTGCGAAGATGATGAGTTGAGACATACATGTACGTATATATTTTTATTCGGTATTTAACATTTAAGATCGAGGCCTACGAATAGAACTCTTCTCCCTAG